TGTTGTTGTTGTTGTTGTCGTTGTTGTTGTTGTTGTTGTTGTTGTTGTTGTTGTTGTTGTTGTTGTTGTTGTTGTTGTCGTCGTTGTTGTTGTTGTTGTTGTTGTTGTTGTTGTTGTTGTTGTTTTTGTTGTTGATTCTCCGCGCTGTCCGCCGCCGCCTGCCCAGCCCAGTCAGGCCGTTTCTTCAATGAGGAACAGTATCGCTTGCCCTGCGCACCCAGGGTCCTTGCATCTTCGTGCTCCCCCACTCCCGCTCGATGAGCGAGTACAAGCTCCTGAGGCAGATCCAGCAGTTGCGCAGCGCTCGTCTCTACCAGTGCCGCCCCCGCCGGTGGACTTTGCGGGTTGCGCAGTCAAGACCATCAGTGCTCCACGTCTAAATGTTGCGGACGAACCTGCCGTGCATCGCCTTCTGAACAGATGGCAGCGCATGTACTCATCTCGGTCCGCCTTTAACGCCCTCGGGAGCCAGCGTGTTGTGGAAGGAGACGACCCTTCGCCCGTTCCAGTGGGTCGCCCCCTGTCGCCTCCACCGTTGCACCCTCGGTCTCCCAGTGAGGGAGATGCCTGGCGTCGTGCTCTCGCTGCCCATGCTGTCAGCTGTGGCATCATGCAGGCAGGCGCTTCCTTTGAGAGGTCTGAGCTCCGCTGTTGAACGGCTTCGCCAAATCTTTCGGTCCCAACCTTCCCCTGTGCCTGTCCGTGTGGGGCGCCCCGGATCGCGCTCCAGATCCCCACGTTTACATAACCAGGCCAATAGACACCGCCGGTCCTGATCGGCAGAGCAGGAGTTGTCGGCTCTTCGCGAGCATTCACTGCCAGAGAGCCATGGCGGAAATAGTATTACTCTTTTCTCTCTGCTCGCTCCTTGCCGCCGCTATCCACAGTTATTTAGGCTGTATTGGTGCCAGCGAGGAGGAAGGCCGTGCGCGGGCACCGCGGGCCCGTCGGCGCGAGAGTTGAACGGTTGTGGACTGTCGTCGGTGTCGTCGTCCTCCTTCTTCCTCTTTTTGTTCTCTTGCATACAGTTTTCCATAGCTTAACGGACTATGGAAGGCATGTCAGAGCCTTTTTTTTTGAGCGATGAGACCAACGTCTTACTTTCATCATCATGCGCCATATTGTCCAGAAACAGCGTTCCTGAGGCGAACGACTGGTTACCAGCCGAATGGTTGATTGTCGTATCTGACATGCAAATGGCCACAGGCAGCTCTGGCGTTCATTCAGACTGCGTGCCATGTCGAGGAGTAGCCGTGGAGGGATCTCATGGTTCTCCTTCGAGATGTCCCTCCATACGAGTAGAATGTTGGGCGCGGGGGCCCCGATGCCATTCGGCGGCCGAGAGCAGATGCCCCGGGAAAACGAGCGGCGCCGACGGCCTTTACCAACGACCCTCATGTGGAAGTTTCTTTCGCGTGTGTAGGCATTGCAGTCTCATGTAGCTCTTTTTGGAATGCATCGATATGATGGAACACAATTGTAGTCATCTTGCCCTTCTGGAGCAACAGCGTAAAAAAAAGGGCCGAGACAAGCGTGGCCGATGGAAAAAAAGGCATCGCGAAGAATTGGCCGCGCAAGTTCGCGTGATCCAAGCGCGCAGAGATGAACAACTTTGGAGAACCAGTACGAAAAAGAGGCCCTTCTTCAGGCCGCGCACCAATCCCAGCAAAGCCAGCAGGCTGCGTTGGAGACAGCTCAGCTGTCTCTGATTAAAGCCGAAAAGGCGAACTAAGGAGTCGGAAAAGAGTCAGCCGAACTAAAGGTGGTAGCAACGGGAAGCAGAGTTGCGGGGGATTGGTGGCGAAGGAAATGCATCCATCAGTTTGTACAAAAGGCGGAGATGGCGGCGAGAAGTTCTTGCTGGTCGGCGGGGGAGGCGACGTGCGAGAGAGAAGCGCAGGGGGCGGCGGCTCTGATTCGCCATGCGAAAGAAGAAGCGCAAGCAGTCGTCCAACAAGCAAGCCTTCGAGAGCGCGCCGCCACTGTCCAGGCGCGACAGATGGGGGCAAATTTGGAAATCTAGCTGAAGACCTTGCCAAACAGAGAGAGGCGCGTAATGGTCTGATTCTCGTCCGGTAGACGTTCGGCGTGGCCGAGCTCGGCGGGGCGGCGGCGTCGCTTGCACCGCGGGTTCAATCCGAGGTTCAGAGCGACATCGTTGCGAGTTCGGTAGCTGCGAAGGCCCGAGCTGGAGCTCGCCCCTCTGCGGATGGTCGGTCGAGTGGCCCGGCAGTAGAGGATCGGCCTGTAATGCCGGCAAATTCAACGTGTCATACCGCTGGGGGAGAGAGAGAGAGAGAGAGAGAGAGAGAGAGAGAGAGGAGAGAGAGAGAGAGAGAGAGAGAGAGAGAGAGAGAGAGGAGAGAGAGAGAGAGAGAGAGAGAGAGAGAGAGAAAGAGAGAGAGAGAAAGAGAGAGAGAGAGAGACGCGAACTCGGGTCATTGCTGCCTCGGGAGATGCACCGCCGTGTTCTTTGTTGCGTTCAGCGTGCCAGGCCATGCTGCGATGGCCACGTCGGCCCCGTGACCGAAAGCTGCAATCGGCGCGCTCGGGGGAAGTCTGGGGCCGAGGCGGAAGCGGCTGAGGAAAGTTAGGAAGAGGAGCGCGGGCGTTCTCAACAGTGGGAAGAACAGGCGCGCGTTCCTAGTTCCGTTCAAGAACGGACGTCTACCCGCGTGGATGCTCGGAAAGAACGAGAAGAGTTTGAGAAGGCAAAGCAAGCAGAGCGAAACGCCGAGTCGGGGGGATTTCCAGGGTTGCGTGGCAGCGACAGGTGGCCCCCTAAAATTCGGAGCAACTTATCCTTGGCGTGCCTTCTTTTCCGTTATCCCTCGAACCACCTGGGGGCCTTCCCATGATGCGCGACGCGCCAGATGGGCCGCTTGATCCATCGCCGAACGCTCCCGACTCAGTCGCGGGTGGAGGCGGCGGAGGAGGGGGGCCGCCCGGAGATGGTGGAGATGGAGGAGAGGGTGGTGGACATGATGCGGGACCCGTCGCACGTCTGCTTGAGTTTTGGATGCAGATGGGGAAGGCAGATGAAAATCACGCTGATGCAAATTCCTAGACCCGTTGGATTTCGGACTTGGAAGCTTCGCGCCCCCTGATGCCGAGGGGGCAGTGTCCTGGATTGCTCGAGCGATGGGCCCCGAGGCCCCGCAAAATAACGGCAGGGAATTATGGTCTTCCATGTTTTCTCACGGAACAAGTGCAGAGGTCAACTTAATGATCCGCCCTGTTGCCGTCGGCGTTGGAAGGCGACGCCCGGCAAGGCCCTGGGGCGGGGCAAAGGAGGGGAAGTTGCGCAGATAGCGGGGAACACATTGTGCGACCGTGCCCCAAAAAAGTCGAGTCAGCTGCGGCCGGCGCGGCCAGGGCAGGTTCGGCCGTTGGTTCTGGCGCTGCAATGAAGAAGGCAGTCAGAGGAGTGCCAGTTGCAAAGGGGGTGGTGAAGGCAGGGGGGGCGTGTCTTTCTGGCGTCGGACGGACACGGGCGAATGCCAATTTGGCGCCCGCTGTAGTTCTCGCGTGGTCATCCATGACCTTGGCTACTGGGGCCCAGCGGCTCCGCTGATCATCGGCGAAGAAATTCGATGATCATGGCTGCGATGACCGCCGATGCCTATTTTGCGCGCTGGCGGTTGGTGATCGAACCAGTCGACGGCCCCGCCATGAGAGGCCGCCCAAGGTTTCGACGATGAGTGGCCATGGCGCTGGCCCTGCGCCAAGAAAAGTCGGCGCGGGCTCTGGGCTGCCGTAGGGAGCTGGTAGGGATCAGTTTTTTCCCGCCCCCCCGAAGGCGTCCAATTCAGAACCCGCGCCGTGCGTGGGGTATTCTAGAGACATGGTGGATTCGACGCCTGTCAGAATATCAAACTTGGCAGAAAGAGGGTCCTTGACCGCGCATAACACTTGGCTGCCGAGGGCCGCCGTCGAAACAGTGTATGGCGCGACCCCGAGACCGAGTTGTGCGAAGAGAGTGCCGTCCGCAACCCGCGGGCAATTCCAAAGGCTCGGAATTGGAGAATGAGGTTTGGAGGTCCTGGATGGGGTGGGGGAGCAAACTTGGGAACAATGCGACCGTCGGTCGCCAATGCTCTGAACGTCCTGGGTGACGTCGAAGCAGGAAACCCATCGTGCGCATGAGGTTTCGGAGGTTTGCGCGGACTTTTTGCGTCTGCGCATGACTTCCCTGGCGGCGCTACCGGCGCGCTCTGGGCACCATGGAGGGACCGTGCGAACAATATTTATACATCTCCGCAGCCTCCTGGTCGGGCCTTTCCTGGGCCCAGGAGCTGTGCGTGCGCTCTCCTCGCCAAGCCAGGAGGGCGTCGCGTGTGCGCCGCTGCTGGATTCAGACCAAAAAATCCGCGCGGGGTTCTCGCAGAGTTTAGGCTTGAGTCGGGCCTGTCCCTCTACAGGGGGAATATTCAAAACATTTTAAAGATAATAGGGGCATTGATGTTGAATGTTTTTGAGCATTGTAGAGTTTTTTTTTTTTTCTTCCCCCCTCTCTCTCTGTTTCCGTTTTTCGTGCAAAGTCCGCCTGTAGGTGGGCATGCACTTTGAAGTTTAGGCCTCTGCGCCTTTTTCTGCTGTGACGCCTCAAGCGTTGGGCGGCGGCCTGTGCCCCCTCCCCCCCCGCAATGCTTGGGCGGGCCGTTCCCGCGGTCCATGATCGCTCTTGGCGTCGGGGGCGCTCGCTGCTCCTACCGAGAGGATTCATTTTCTTCAACTCCCGCCCCTTCATCCCACTTCTTCCGTCCTCCTCCTCCTCCTCCTCCTTCCCCCCCCCTTCCCCCGCATCCCTCTTCCCTCGCTCCCTCCCTTCCTTCCCTCCTGCTCCCCCTTCCTGCACCTGCTTTTGCACACCGCTGCAGCAGGGGTGACGGGACGTGCTTTACTGCGGGAGGGTAATGAGGAGAAGTGGCTACCGACATGTAGCAAGAGGGGGTATGCACGCGTCGAGTTTCCGTCTCCTCCCAGCCAGCCGAACCAAGGGCGAGCCGTGGAACATTCTGGCGGCAGGGATCGAGCCATTGGACCTCCTCATCTCGAGGTGGAAGAGGGCTCGCTGCCACGGTGACGCTTACCTGGCTGTCGGCGATGGCCATGCCATGGCGCAGGTGGACTCGGGGTTTCAATCTTGTTGGCAGCCTCAACAGCCCCAGTCGGTAGTTTCGGTCTGACAGTGCGGCCATGGGGGAATGCGTCTGGGATGCACCACGGGGCCATTGTGGGCCGCAATCTGGAGCTCGGATTTGGTGGGAGCGGCACGGTGCAGCGACCAGATCGCCACATGGTTTCATTTGAAGAGCGTGGTGGTCGTCGACTTCCACGTGCGTCAGCACATTGCCCTCTGTCTAGTGGCCTTTGGCCCCGTCCCGCCACCGTGCGCGGGCCCGAAAGAGTCACGCGGGAAGACGCGCCAAGATCTGCGAGCGAGGGGTCCGGGCCCCTTGAAAGGACTCTTCAGGAGTACGCGAGGAGAAAGGCTTAGAGGACCAGGCCCAGGACTCTTCAGGAGTACGCGAGGAGGAAGGCTTGGAGGACCGGGCCCAGGACCGGGCCCCTCGAAAGGACTCTTCAGGAGCCCGCGAGGATGGAGGCTTAGAGGACCGGGCCCAGGACCAGAGGCCCCGCCCGCTCCGTGCCCAATGGCACAGCGGCGGACCTCCCGTCGCGGTTTTGGAGGCTTGGATGGCCGTCTCGGCTCGTGGTTCTCAACGCTTCGCGCGTCCCTTGTCAGCCCGTCAAGGTCGGGGGCGGACAGAACCCCCACCCTGACACGTGGATTCGTGACATGTCCGTTTTCGGTCTTCGAGAGGGCGCCGCGGCCGTCCTTTTGCAGGCTTGCGCCCGCCAGGGTTTGGGCCCGAGGTCGGTTTCACTGAACCACGTTATGCTAAAAGGGGGCTCTGTTCATCCCCGGCACAAGCAACCGTGCATCTCTCGCTTCTTTTGTGGTCTCACTAGCGTTCAATGGTCCTGCCTGGTATGGTCTGGTCGCGTGCGGTCTCGTCAGGTACGGTCGGGCGTATCGGCATGTGTGCTGACCCAGCCTTGTCGATCTTGATCCCATCGGACTGTGGGCATCGGCGAGGGTAACGTCGGCAATCTAAACGTTTGCCGCTGCGCAAGTGCCTCCCCTGTCACTGCTCCTCCTCCTGCTCGCTCTCGCTCCCTCTGTCGTCCGCATGGGAGCGCAGGGCGCAGGGGAACGCCTATCTGGGCCTCCCAGATGGGCTCCGAGTAGACAGGGTCGGAAGGTCGCGCCGCCTCGCGGATGCATTGACGATGCGGCTCGATGTGGAGCCCGATTTCCTCCTCGCCGACAGCGCCGATGCATCGCTGGCGTCCCCGGCCGATGCATCGGCGATACACTGGCGAAGCTGTGCGATTCTCCGACCTCATCTCGGACCCCATCCAGGTGGCCTCAAGGGGGGGTTCGTTCGTCAAGGAGTGTGCCCAGGCTCGTTCGTTAAGGAGTGTGCCCATGTGGCTTCAGACCCTGGGCGATCCCTTGTCCGAGGAGGGCGGCAAGGGTATCCGTGGCCAGGCCTCAGCTGGTCTTCCACCAGCTTCCAGACCCAGGAGCTCTTGCCCGATGGCTCCCTGCTCGGGCCGGGGAGGCCTCAGCGGCAGCGCCGGGCAGCCCCGGGGAGCGCCTGGCAGGTGGACTACCTGCCCGACGTGCGGCGGCTCAGCGAGGCGGAGGTGCGCCGCGTGCACGAGGACCGCCTCGGGGGGGCCAGGCCCGCCCTGAAGCCCGGGCGCTGCGCTTCTTCCACGCCGGGCGTCCCCGCCCAGCCTCGGGCCCAGGGCCGTCGCAGATCGATCCAGCTCGAGCGCTGCTGCAGGACGATGGGGCCCAGAGCTCTCGCTGCGAGTCTTCGCGGCGCGGCGACTCTTTGCAGCATCGGAGCTCAGGGCCTCCCCAGGCAGCCGATGCCGTTGCCTCTTCGCGCTGGTCTTCCCACGGCGCGGCTCCCCGGAGGTCCGGGCCCCTTCCCGCGGGACCGGCCCCTTTGTCCTGGGCCACCTCGTGGGCGGCCCTGGAGCCGGGCCGGGGCCTCAGGGGCCTCCTGGAGGCCGACGACTGTCAGGCGATGGTCTTGTGCTCGCCGCGGGGACGTCGGGGCCTGCGGCGTGGCGGGTGTGCGGGGGCGGACAGAACCCCCACCCTGACACGTGGATTCGTGACATGTCCGTTTTCGGTCTTCGAGAGGGCGCCGCGGCCGTCCTTTTGCAGGCTTGCGCCCGCCAGGTTTGGGCCCGAGGTCGGTTTCACTGAACCACGTTATGCTAAAAGGGGGCTCTGTTCATCCCCGGCACAAGCAACCGTGCATCTCTCGCTTCTCTTGTGGTCTCACTAGCGTTCAATGGTCCTGCCTGCTATGGTCTGGTCGCGTGCGGTCTCGTCAGGTACGGTCGGGCGTATCGGCATGTGTGCTGACCCAGCCTTGTCGATCTTGATCCCATCGGACTGTGGGCATCGGCGAGGGTAACGTCGGCAATCTAAACGTGTGCCGCTGCGCAAGTGCCTCCCCTGTCACTGCTCCTCCTCCTGCTCGCTCTCGCTCCCTCTGTCGTCCGCATGGGAGCGCAGGGCGCAGGGGAACGCCTATCTGGGCCTCCCAGATGGGCTCCGAGTAGACAGGGTCGGAAGGTCGCGCCGCCTCGCGGATGCATTGACGATGCGGCTCGATGTGGAGCCCGATTTCCTCCTCGCCGACAGCGCCGATGCGTCGCTGGCTTCCCCGGCCGATGCATCGGCGATACACTGGCGAAGCTGCGACCTCATCTACTCGGACCCCATCTAGGTGGCCTCAAGGGGGGGTCGTTCTTAAAGGAGTGTGCCCATGTGGCTTCAGACCCTGGACGATCCCTTGTCTGATGAGGGCAACGTTTCACTGAACCACTTTGCGTTTTTCTAGGCCTCCCAGTTGGGGTCGGAGCAGATGGTGTCGGAGGATCGCTCCGCATCACTGATGCATCGGTTATGCGGCTCGACGTGGAGCCCGATGTGCTTCACGTCGAAGTCGCCGACGCATCGCCGACGTGGACGGTGCATCGCCGGTGCATCGGCGATGCGGCGCGGTCCCCCGAACCCATCTGCAGTCAGCCCGCATAGGAAGGATGTGCAACCTTCCCAAGGGCACCCCTGTATCCCTACCTCCTCGGCCCATCCTTGGCCGCTTTCGCTGGCCGCGCCCCGGTCGAAAAGCTTCGACATGGGCGTCCAAAGCCCTTGCAATCTTATCGTGCATCCTTACTATACTGGTTGACTCTACTCCAACCCCATTCAGGAGGCATCTGCCTCTGCATCCTTGCATCCTTGCCCCTCTGGCATTCGGCATCCTTCGGCACTCTGCTGCGCTCCGCACGGAAAATGTCAACATGGTGTTCCAAGGCCCTTGCATCCTTACCGCGCATCCTTACTACCCTTGTCGAGTCTACTCCGACCCCATGTGTCGGCGTCACACCAACATACTTATACTATGTGTGCGTCGCCCCCCCAGGGGCGACGCGCGCACCGAGAAATCTTATAGTATATCCGTCGTGGCGGGCGTTTTCTGGCCACACCGCTCGGGAAACGAGACACTACAGGATGGGTATACTACATGTTCGGGTCGGACGCGCGCCTCCAAGGAGGACATGTAGTACTCGTATGTCCCTGTGCGCCCCATGGTCGAGTCTGCTCCGACCCCATTCAGGAGGCCTCCTCCTCCGCGACCTCCTCCTCCTCCTCCTCCTCCTCCTCCGTCTCCTGCTCCTCCCTCTCCTCCTCCTCCTCCTCCTCCTCCTCCTCCCCTCTCCTCGCCCTCCTCTAGGAGGCCTCCGGTTCTGCCCATCCCCCGCTGGGTAGTGCCCGCCCTGCGCTGCGCCTGCCGGGGGCCCGTGCGCAGAGCCTCCCAGCGCGGGAGGCGGGGCCCGCCTTCACTGCGGGGGGGCCGGGTCCGCCCCCAGTGACTGCACGGGCGACCGCGCCTTTCCGCCTCCTCCCTCTCCTCCTCCTCCTCCTCCTCCTCCTCCTCCTCATCCTCCTCCTCCTCCTCCTCCCTCCTCCTCCCTCCTCCTCCTCCTCCCCTACTCCTCCTCCTCCTCTCCTCCTCCTCCTCCTCCTCCTCCTCTCCTCCCCTCCTCCTCCTCCTCCTCCTCCTCCTCCTCCTCCTCCCCCACCTCCTCCTCCTCCTCCTCCTCCTCCTCCTCCTCCTCCTCCTCCTCCCCCTCCTCCTCCTCCTCCCCCCCCCCTCCTCCTCCCCCTCCCCCTCCTCCCCCCCTCCTCCTCCTCCCCCCTCCTCCTCCCCCTCCTCCCCCTCCTCTCCTCCTCCTCCCTCTCCTCTCCTCCTCCTCCTTCTCCTCCTCCTCCTCCTCCTCCTCCTCCTCCTCCCCCTCCTCCCCCTGCACATCATCCGCGAATCGGAGAGCAACCTCATGTGGCCCCCACATATCCTCGGTACGATCGGCGCCATCGCAGGGAAACCATCAGGAGGGGACCGTGTGCTGGGGTTGCTACCTATGACAGTACGGATATGGTCCCGCATGCGGTCAGGTGTTGCCGACGTATGGACACAGCAGTTGGAGGATCACTGGGACCGCAGTCAGAGGGTCGTCAGCATTGAGGGCAGCGCTTCTACGCGCGACACTGGACGAGACAGGACAAGCCATGGGAATCGCACACGCAGAACTCTTCTCCGACATGGAGCAGTTTTATGATTCCCTAGATCTTGGTTGGTTGATCAATACAGCGTGCAGGCAAGATCTTTCGGCTACGACGTATGGCCACCAGAGTTGCGAAGATCACGAAGGCCTCTTCCGGCACCTCAAGCTACTTACGGACACGAGGTATGGGGGATAGCACCCAGTCGGATACTTCACCTTCGGCGTATGGCTATGCGATCGGCCGCGGGACCAGGCCCAGGGCGATGCTTATCAACGGGAATGGCGGTGCTATATCGTCTCAAAAGGCTCAGGCATCTCTTTACGACGGCAATTGGTCAGCGAATGGCTACACCAATGGCTACTACACCCAGAACTTCACAGACGAGTGCGACAAATTTGGACACCGACGTACCGAACTCTCCTTCGCGCAGGGACCAAGCTGTGGCACAAGGTACATGTACCCGTCGCCGCGTTGCAGGCGACACTTATCACAGCAGGCTGGAAACCAGTGCAAGCAGCAGTATGGAAGCGACCCACACCACAAGGAGACGAAGAATGAACATTGTATATATATGATTTCACGTCGAAAATCTCCCTGTAGGGGGACAGGCCCGACTTAAGTGATATGTCATGGGTGGCCGAAGGTAACGTCCTTCTTTGCGCGTCAGGGACATGGAACAACAAAAACTGCCAAGGACCGGTTGCCTCGCCGTCTCCCTGTGTGTATCTCGCCCTGTGATGACCGAGCTGTTTTTTCGTGCGGTGCTGGACTCTCTGCCTTTGCCCTGCAGCAGGCACTGCAGTTCTTGCCCGCAGCTCTGGTCCCCGGGCCGACGGCAAGCTCAGAGCATCAGTCCCTGCCTTGTTTGGGGTGTTGCGTGCCGACCTGTCACCGACCAGCCAGCGGTTGAACCAGATGCCCAGTCCTAAGAAATCCAGGGGGCAGGAGTCGGCCGAGAGTTCCAGAAGCCGGCGGCTCGAGGCGGTCTCGGGCCAGGAGGTCGTCGGACGTCGTCGCGTGGGGCGAAAGCCATCCAGGTCGTTTTTGGGGTCCGGCTTGGGCCCGATCTGGGTCCGGGGGTTGCCGAGGAGGGTTGACACGAGTGCAGTCGGCCGAGAAACGGCGGTCGAGCTTGCTTGCGTCCCCCGTCCCTCCACCTCTCTTCTCTGTCCTTCTCTCAGGAGGGAAAAAACACAGACACAATTAATCGACGATTCCCCAGAAAATATGGGAAAATATTGGAAGTGGGGGGGAAGACGAAAATTAAAACAAATTGAGCAAATATGGGGAATCCTGTGATTTGTGTGTATTTATTTGTGTGTCCTTGGGCTCCCTCTTTCTCCCTCTCCCCCTTCTCCCTCCAGGGTGCCCCACTCTGGTATGCCACTCCTGCTGTTTCGGAGTGAAGAGGGGCGGATAGACAGGGGATCCCCTTTGCGAGTTGGGGTGGTTCCGAGGCGAAGGGTGTCCCCCATTTGACAGCGCCTGTGTCAACCCCAGAGGACTGTCAAGTGCAGTGATCTCCCCTCCCTCCCCCATCCGTCCTTCCGTGCAGCCTGCCCACCCTTACGATGTCGGCCGTAGGGAGGGCCGACGCGTGCATTCGCTCCTGTACCGCTACGGTGGCGAACGTTGGTCTGACGTCCTCGTGCGCCGCCCAGACCTCCCTCCCTCCGTCAAACCCTGTGACCTCGGAGGCGCCTGGGTAAGACCGTCGCAGGGGTCTCCTGTGACTCCCGACGCCCTCGCATCGCGCAAAGGTCACGACGGAGTGGTCCAGGCAGCTTCTGGTCTCCGGGGGCCCAGCAGGCGGCTCTGGACGAGGAGCCGCTCCCCGGAAGGGGTCTGGACCTCTTCGGGGTTCACGTCATGAGCAACATCACGACAATCAGTTTTTTTTGTTGCCGGCTTGTTTCTGCTGTTGTTTTTCTACTTCCTCTTCTCACGGGCTCTGAGCAACCCGCTTCGCACGCTGGCCGGTCGGGTTTTCGCCCGTCCACTCTCGGCCTCTGGACGAGCAGCAACAGCAGCAGCAGGCACGCCAGGAGCAGGGGCAGGAGCGCAGCTCGGAGGAGGATGTGCGCGATGAGCAGCACGAGGCGGGAGGGGACGTGCGAATACCAGGCACTCGGCCACGCCCCCCCCGGCGTCTCGCCGTCGCTTCCGGCGCCAGAGCCCCGCCCAGGAGGTCTTCTTGGAGCTGGTCTGCGACAGCGAGGCAGGACACGAGGAGGAGGAGGAGGAGGAGGAGGAGGAGGAGGAGGAGGAGGAGGAGGAGGCGGAGGACCAGTGTAAACCCAAGAGTCGTTAACGATGTTGGTGGAATAAACCCTCCCTCCAAGCTCCCTCTTCATAGGCCCCTACAAGGGCGCATTCCCACAGGGAAATGCCTCCTTGGAAGACAACCGTTTGAAGACCCTGAAGCATGCCCAAACATTATTCTCGGGGCTCCAACGCCACGGATCATCCTGACTGTTGCGTCTTGACGATCCTGAATCGTGCCAGAACGCCATTCCTGGGACTTCCAACACCGCGAATCAATGTAACTTGGTACGTTGACCATGGAACTCCGTGACATTCTCGCAGTTTTTCAAACGAATGTGCGCGGTGTTAAAGCGAGACCCACATTTCGAAAAGGAACCGCCTTCAATCCTTGAATTTCTTGAATTTTTTTACAACGACTGTGCGCGGAGCGAAGGCGAGAGCCACATTTAGAAAACCACCCGCCCTCAATCCGTGAAACCCCTGTAATTTTTTGAGCAAATGTGCACGGCGCCAACGCGAGAGCCACATTTTGAAAGCGAGCCGCCCTCCATCTGCGAAACTGTTTCCAATCCTTAAGCTCGAGGGTTATAAATGGAGAGGAAGTCTCGGGCGAAGCGCTCGGCCCGCCCTTTCGACCGGCCTCGGGGTGCTGACAGGGAGAAGTGATTTATGAGGAAAGGGTGATGATGATGATGATGATGCTGATGATGATGATGATGATGATGATGATTATGATGATGATGGTTATGATGATTATGTTGATGATGATGATGATGATGATGATGAGGATGATGATGATGTTGATGTTGATGATGATGATGATGATGATGATGATGATGATGATGATGATTATGATTATGATGATGATGGTTATGATGATTATGTTGATGATGATGGTGATGCTGCTGATGATGGTGATGATGATGGTGATGATGATGATGATGGTGATGCTGCTGCTGCTGATGATGGTGATGATGATGATGATGATGATGATGATGTTGATGATGATGATGATGAGGAGGAGGAGGGTTGTGGCGGCTGTTGGAGACTCTTCACGCCGTCAGGAAACAGGAAGCGGGAGGAGGAGGAGGAGGAGGAGGACCAGTGTAAACCCAAGAGTCGTCAACCCCCTTGCCTCGCCGTTCCCAGCCCCCGGAGGGGCAGCCGGTCGGCGGGGCGCCTCCGCGCAGCCCCCCGACGTCGACCACCACTTCGGCCAGCTCCGCGGCGGCGGCCGCTCCTCCCGCAGGACCCGTCGGGCGCACACCCGGCGGCGAGGGCGCCCGATCTGGATGCAGATGTGGATGCGGATGTGGATGCGGATGCGGATGCGGGTGCGGATGATGATGATGATGCTAATGATGATGATGCTGATGATGATGACGATGACGATGATCGTGGTGGTGATGATGGTGGTGGTGGTGATCATAATGATGATGCTGCTGCTGATGATGATGGTGATGCTGACTCTGATGCTTGTGGTGACGATGATGATTCTGATGACGATGCTGTTGATGATGATGCTGATGATGATGCTGATGCCGCCAATGATGATGACGATGATGATGTTGATGCTGATGATGATGGTGGTGGTTATTACCATTATCATGATGCTGCTGCTGATGCTGATGCTGATGGTGATGATGCTGCTAACGACGCTGTTGATGATGATGACGATGATGATGCTGCTAGTGATGATGATGATGATGATAATGATGACGATGATAATGAGGATAATGATAATGACGATGGTGATGATGGTTGTGGTGGTGGTGATGATGTTGCTGATGATGGTGGTGATGATGATGCTGCTGCTGATGCTGCTGATGCTGAGGCTGCTGATGATAGTGATAGTATTGGTGATGGTGATGGTGATGGTGATGATGATGATGACGATGACGATGATGATGATGATGATGATGATGATGATGATGATGTTTCTGTGCTGATGACGATGATGCTGCTAGTGATGCAACTGATGACGATGATAATGAGGATAATGATGACGATGATGACGAAGCTGATGATGCTGTTGATGATGATGCTGATGCAGATGCTGATGCTGATAATGATGGTGAGGCTGATGATGATGACGATGATGATGATGGTGACGACGATGCTGATGGTGATGATGCTGATAACGATGACGATGCTGAGGTTGATGATGGTAATGATGATGGTGCTGCTGATGAGGATTATGAGGATTATGCTATTGCTGCTGATGATGATGGTGCTGATGATGATGATGGTGCCGATCATGATGATGAAGATGATGATGCTGCTGAGGCTGCTGATGCTAAGTCTGCTGATGATGGTCATGATGAGTGTGATGATGACGCTGATGATGATGACGACGATGATGACGATGAGGATGATGATGCTGCTGCTGCTGATGATGACGATGACGATGACGATGACGATGACGATGATACTGATGATGATGCTGATGATGAAGATGATGATGCTGGTGCTGATGGTGATAATGATGATGATGGAGATGATGATGATGGTGGTGCTGGTGGTGGTTGTGGTGGTGATGATAAGGATGCTGATGCTAAGGATGATGGTTATGATGTTGATGATGATGCTGTTGACGAAGATGCTGATGCTGATGGTGATGCTGCTGATGGTGATGGCGATGAGGATGATGGTGATGATGCTTCGCATGCCGACGATGAAGATGAGGATGAGGATGATGAGTCTGATAATGAAGATGCTGGTGGGGATGATGACGACGATGATGCTGATGATGCTGATGACGATGTTGATGCTGCTGATGATGATTATCATGTGATCATGGTGATGACGACGCTGACGATGATGATGATTCCGATGATGCTGATGCTGATGCTGCTGCTAATGATGAGGATGCTGACCCTGCTGCTGCTGATGATGATGAGGCTGATGATGCTGATGATGACGATGATGATGATGATGCTGATCGTGACGATGATGATGGTGATGATGCTGATGACGATGATGCTGCTGCTGATGATGATGGTGACGATGACGATGATGATAATGATGCTGATGTTTATGCTGATGTTGATGCTGATGATGATGATGATGATGATGATGATGATTATGATGTGGCCATGATGATGACAACGACGATGCTGCTCATAATGATGATGCTGATGCTGATGCAACTGATGCTGCTGCTGATGCTGCTGCTGATGATGACGACGATGATGACGGTGCTGATGCTGATGATAACGATGATGATGATGCCTATGATGATGATGATGATGATGATGATGATGATGATGATGCTGATGCTGATGCTGATGCTGATGCTGATGCTGATGCTGATGCTGATGCTGCTGGTGATGATAATGACGATGAGGATGACGTCGATGATGATGATGATGATGATGATGATGATGATGATGATGATGATGATGATTATGATGATGATGATGATGATGATGATGATGATGATGATGATGATGATGATGATGATGATGATGATGCTGATGATGATGATGATGGTGGTGGTGGTGATGCTGCTGATGCTGCTGATGCTGCTGTTGCTGCTGATGATGGTGGTGGTGATGGTGATGACGATATTGATGATATGATGATGACGCCGATGCTGATGATGATGACGATGATGATGATAGTGATGATGATAATGATGATGCTGATACTGATGACGATGATGATGATGATGATGATGATGCTGATGATGATGATGATGGTGACGATGATGATGGTGGTGATGATGATGATGATGATGATCAGGAGGAAAGGGAGGATGAGGATGATGAGGATGATTCTGCTGTTGCTGCTGCTGCTGATGATGGGGAATGATAATCATGAGGATGATGATGATGATTATGATGATGAGGCTGCTGCTGCAGATGATGATGATGATGATGATGATGATGATGATGATGATGATGATGATGATGATGGTGGTGGTGGTGGTGGTGGTGGTTGTGATGATGATGATGATCATCATGATAACGAGGAGGGGGAGCAGGATGAGGAGGAGGAGAAGAGGATGATGATGTCAGGGGGAGATAGATAGGACAGGCCATCGTGGGGAGCGGGGGAGGAGGAAGAGGAGGAGGAGGAGGAGGAGGAGGAGGAGGAGGAGGAGGAGGAGGGAAGAGGGAAGAGGGAAGAGGGAGGGATGGAGGGAGTAGGAAGGTGCTCAGGAGAGGGTGGGGAGGAGGAGGGTGTGATTGTCGTGGGGGTTGGAGCATGAGGCGGAGGATGATGAGGGAGGTGGGAGGGATGCCCTGAGATCCGGAGGCCGGGGGAATGTGGGGATGCGGTTTTGGGTTCTCATCATCGCTTCCCTGTGTGACTGTATCTCCCATTCACTTTTTTCAATTCCTACGCTGCTACTTCTCTCCCGCTCGTTATTGATCGTAGGAGCGGTCTGAGCATAAGGACCACCACAGGGTTCCCCAGTCTAGTGACTTCCCCGTCTCAGTCATCCTTCCATTCCAGTCCCTTTTTCCTTTCCCATCCCTCATGCTCCCCTCCCTCCTGCCATTTCTCCTTACGTTTCCCTGCCCTCATGAACTCCCTCCCCCCCCCCTCCCCCCTTCCTGTTTTTTTCGTGTTTTTTTCCCCCCTCTATCTGTCCTCTTCCATCTTTCTTCTATCCCTGTCTTCCCCCTCCCTTTTATCTCACTTCCCCTCTCTCTCTCGCTTTCCTCGCTCACTCTGTCTCAGTTTTTTATTTTTTCTTCTCTTTCTTTCTCTGTCTCTCTCCCCCGTTGCCCGTGTTTTGATCTTTCGTATCGTAGTCCTCTTCCCATCGCTCTCAATCGCCATGCGAGACCCTTGTCGAAAAGCGCTTGGTGAGCTAGCGCATTGAGATGAGGGTGACTATCCACATGATGATTCGGATAATGCACATGTGATCCAGAAGAGAATCAGCATAGCTGACAGGAGAAAGGGGATCATATGTAATACCCGAGCGGAAAGGTAGATCACAGGGCGGGCCACCAGCATCCTCCTGCAGGGGCTGCCACATGATACATACATAAATCCTCATGGAATTCGGCGCCAGAGGAATCCTCTTGTAATCCAGGGAACTGGGATCCTTCGTAGTTTCCCTTAGCAGGAGTCCTTTTGTATTGTGCCACAGAGAAATCCTCTTCTAGTCCGCCACACAAGGAATCCTTTCGTAATCCGCCACGCAAGACATCCTTTTATAATTCCCCACACAAGAAATCGTTTTGCAACCTGCGTCAGTAGGGATCTTTTCGAATCGGCCTCAAAAGTAATCCTTTCGTAATGTACCAAGAACATCTTCGTCGAATCCGCCGCAAAAGCGTCCACTTGTAATCCGCGGCATTCGGAAACCTTTTGACATTGGCCTTACAAGGAATCTTCTTATGATCCGCCGCAAATGGAATCTTGGTGTAATTCACCACGCACGGAATCCTTTTGTAATCCGTCACCAAAAGGAGTCTTTCTGTATTTTTCCGAAAGGAATCCATGTGTTAGCCGCGACAATCGAAGTCTAGTTGTATCGACATCAAAAGGAATCCTTTTTGCATTATACCGCAACAGGAACTCCTAGTGCAATCCTCTGCAAAACGAGCTTTTGTTTACAAGCCGCCACACGAGGAATCCATTTGTAATCTAATTGTCTCGGAGGAGAGGGGAAACAAGGACTAACACGAACAACCTGTGCAAACACAACGGAACATAAGACACATCGGAACGCTCGTCAAAGGGGGGAGGGGAACATAGGGAAACTTGAGCTGTGGCAACCTGACGCACGGATTCCCTCTGTGGCGGCCTTCCAATTGGGGTGCATGATTGGAATTGGTGTAATCCGCCACACAGCAGATGATTCTGTCATCCGCCGCAGAATCCATTTATAATCCGCGACATTGGGGATCCTGTTAAAATCGGCCTCCAAAGGAATCCTTCTGCGATTCGCCACAAAAGGCATCTTTGTGTAATACGCCACACAACGAATCCTTTGTAATCCGCCACACCAGTGATCCAAATGCTTGTGTCATGTCGCCATGTCGTTGACGATGCAGCGCTTCGCTGTCCGTAAACTGCATGTGTTGGACCCTAGGCTCAAAACGCGCGTGCCGAACGGACAGGGAGGCCAGTGGCGAAACATCCCCAAGAGAGTGAGGGCCGCAGCGAGGGTCAGAAGTGGGCGCTGGGCCGCACGTGGGGGGGGTACGCGACAAGGTGAACGCCATGGTCCAGTCCGCTGCCGATGAGGTCCGAGCCAGGTCGATCGCGTAGGTAAGCAACGTTCGTACAAACTCCGACATCCTGCTTGTCCCCTTGAGTCAGTTCCTTCGTGCCTCGGCAGTCAGT